CCTCAAGCCACATTCTCTGTGGCCTCCTGGGCCCCAGCCTGGCATGAAGTCTCACTCTGCTCCCACCCCTCCTCTCTCCAGGATGTGCTCTCACTAGCTGTGGGGCCCCGGGACCCTGAGGAGGGAGTTTCCCCAGAGCATCTGGAGCAGCTCCTAGGCCAGCTGGGCCAGATGCTGCAGTGCCGCCAGGTGAGACGTGGCAGGACTTTCTTCTTGTGTGTCCTTGTCCAGTGCCTAATAACCAGAGCTGCATTGGCTTGGGGCTGCTGCTCTAAGGATGGTGCTAATGTCCAGGGTCTCTGCTTTCTCCCCACAGTTCCTGTGCCCACCTGCCGAGCAGCATCTGGCAAAGTGCTCTGTGGAGTTAGCGTCCCTCCTTGGTATGGCACCTATCATGTCACTCTCTTGCCAGATCTCAGAGTTGGGTACAAGCAAGATTAGAAACAGGGAGCTTTCTTCTGCTCTTCTTCCTCCCAGGGGCTGGCCAGGTGACCCTGCCTCCACTTCTTAAAGCTTGGCTTTCCTTTCTTCCCATAGTTGCAGACCAAATTCCCGTCCTAGGGCCCCTGGCACAGCACCGGCTGGAGAGAGGGCAGGCGCGAAGGCTCCTGCACATGCTGCTTTCCCTGTGGAAGGACGACTTTCAGGTGCCCGTTCCGCTGCAGCTGCTGCTGAGCCCAAGAAATGTGGGGCTTCTGGCAGACACTCGGCCCAGGGAGGTGAGCCAGAGAGGTGGGGGGCAGGCAGGATTCTGAGCCCTCTGCAGTCATGTTCTTGGACCCACCACTGTCACCCAAACGTTATGAGCTGCTTTCTTTCCTTTATTCCTCCCCCTTTTCTGTTCCATGCTCAAGTGGACTCCCTTAATCAATCTCAGGTCTCCTCTTCAGCAGCCCTGTCCCTTGTATCAGCCAGTCACTGTGCAGTCCTCCTAGCCATGGTGACCTCCTCCCTCACGTGTATTGCAGTGGGACCTGCTGCTGTTCTTGCTCCGGGAGCTGGTAGAGAAAGGTCTGATGGGTCGGACGGAGATAGAGGCCTGCCTGGGCAGCCTCCGTGAGGCCCAGTGGCCAGGGGTAAGGAGTCCTCATGTCTCTTTTATCCTGAAAGGGGACAAATGAGGGGGCCTAGTATTCTTAAGATCTTTGCAAAGCCCAGTGGATTTTGTCAAGTGTCTTCAGGGCTGCCCTGAAATGGAGTGGCTATTCTGGTGGCCCTTCTTCACATTTGAGTAGCTATTTATAAAGGACCATGTCAGTGGAGGAAGGGAAGATGGAAGGCAGGTAGTTGGAAAGCCTAGAGAGTGTGGGTTTTTAAAATCAGAATAACCTGGATTTTGATTTCGGCTAGTAGTTATTATTGTGACTTAGGACACAGTAATCTTAGTTTATTCATCCATAAAGTGGGAATAACTTATACCTCCTAGAGTTTGTCAAGATGAAATAATGTGCATGTTAATTATGTAGTAGAGGATGGTAAGTAAGTACTCACTAGATGGTTCTGAGCCTCTCATCAGAGTTGACTCTCCCTGCCAGAACTTGAGCATCCCAGAGTATGAATGGGACAAAGTTTTAAGTCAATTTCAGTGCAGAAGGCAGTTGGGAAAAAATAAGATAGCTAGGTTGTCTACTCACTGGGTAGCTAGGGCTTGATATTTGAGATTTTTAGTAGAAAGGATGAACCATCCAGAATTATGTGTCTGCCTTTTCTGTCATCTTTCTGCTTATTCCAGGACTTCTCTGAAGAATTAGCAACACTGTTCAACCTGTTTCTAGCTGAGCCCCACATGCCAGAACCCCAGCTAAGAGCTTGTGAGCTGGTGCAGCCAAACCGGGGGACTGTGCTGGCCCAGAGCTAGGGCTGGGAAGTGGCCCTGCCTTGGGCGTCTCACCCTGGAACTCACCTGACTGTACCTCAGGAGGAGGCCGCAGAGCCCAGCGCTGCCCCAAGTGCCCACTGCTGACCCTTGCTGGTGTGGGAGTAGCTGAGTCTATAATCAGGCTTCCTGCTCATGTGCAAAGGAAGCATGTGGCTCCCTGGCATCCCACTGACTGCAGGCTCACCACCTGAGTCCTAGAGGAAGGAGAAAGGGGTCACCTGATTCAGGATTATGGTGGAAAAGCCTAGAGACTCCAGTACTGGAGCAGAAGAGTTGGCATTTATAACTTGGATACTAGATGAAATGACGTGTAGTGGCTTGTCAACACAGGATGCGAGCCCCACTTGCTGCTGTCCCAGCATCTCTTAAAACTTGGTGGTTTGGGAAATCATGACAGGCAAATGACTCCTGCTTAACTTGTATATAAAGTTAAAACATGAATCTTGGGAGTCTACATTTTCTTACCACCAGGAGCTGGACTGCCATCTGAAAAATGCACAACAGATGAGGTGGCACTCGCCTGATGGAAACCGGCTTTACCCTGCACCTTCCCTGCCTTCAGCCCTGTGCAGGTAGTAATTCTCCACCCTCTCACCATCCAGGGGCCACACACAGGGCAGAAGATTAGAGCTTTTTAAAATAAACTGTTTTCTTTATCAAGGGCTTCATGTCTAGTTATTTTCACCTGACTCTTCCCTGTACAAAGCTGCAAAATCTTAGGTGGGCTTGGAGATGGGCATTGACAGGGTAGAGCTGTATTAGCGGCTTGGCCACCTAGCAGTGCTTGAGCCTGGGGCCCTCTTAACTCACTGCCAACAGTATTGACTTCTGTGCACCTCCCTCGAAAGGTTTAGGATAATGTGCAAAGTTTCCACTCACTCCCTAGTGAACTAGGGGGCAGGGCAGCTCTTGTGATGCTTGTTTTTTTAGGGCTGGGGGGTGTCTGACTTGGCTCAGAACAAAAGCATTCTGCGTGTCTATAAATGATCCGTTGATTGTGACTAAGCTAACAACCCTAATAACGTGCGTTAAGTTCACTGCTGTAAAATTCTTGGTTTTCCACGTTGGTAGTGTGTACAGAGCGATTTGGGCTCTGTTGGGGGAAGGTGGGGGTATTCAGTGAACCCTCTTGCAGTGGCTTGCAAAATCTTTTCTGTGCATATGTGTGTATTTTTAGGGAGAAAAGTTCATAGCTGTCAAACAGGTCTCCAACCCAAGGAAGGGTAAGATTCTCTGGGCCTAGAGGGGTCTGCTGTGTGACCTTAGGAAATCCTGTGGGAAGCCCTTACTTGCAGTAAGTCCCATAAGCACAGAAAGTAAAAAATGGGGGCGTCTCTCAATCACCACTTTGTAATCATGCTTCTGCCCATTCAGGCTGGGCCTTTTTCTTCCCCTCAGCTCATCCCATTCACTCTTAAGTTTCTACATCTGAAGCTTTTTTCTTAATCTCTTCATTTTCAAAGGACTATCTCTGTCCTTTAAATCCAATTTATACACAGCAAATCAGGAAGTTCTGAATGCCTGAGAAGCAAAATAGTTAAGAAATGTTTTATCTTTCTGCACCCATTAGGTGTGGCTGAACGAAACACTGCCCCAGGAAGCTGAGGCCCGAGGTAAGCAGCTACCTCAGACACCCAGCTCTGCATGAGGTGGGACAGGCAGGTGAGCAGAGAGGAAAGCCTGAAGCCCACTTAGTTTGCTGAATTGGGCCCATGCTAAATTTAACTTAATCCTTGCCTGTGTGAACCTTAAAGGCCTACTCTAGGCAGTAAGATAACAGAGGAATTACAGAGACAGGCAGCTAATGAACTAGTGAACTAATTAAGTTCCTTTCCATATATTTGCTCTCTACTAATTGTCTAAAACAGTGGTTTTCAAAGTGTAGTCCCCAGACCAGCAGCCTCAGGATCACCTGGGACTTCTAGAAATACAAATACATGGGCCCTTCTCCAGGCCTACTGAATCAGAAACTCAGGTGTGGCCCAGCCTGCGGGCGGGGCGGGGGGGGGTGGAGGGAGCTGCCAGCCACTTCCCCCTCCCCAACCGAAAGTCTGCCAGGTCGCCGGGAACGGCCGGTCGGGGCCCGTCCTGCCCAGGCCAGGAGAGAATGAGATTTGTATTTGTTGGGGGCGGGCGGGGCGGGGG